ACGGTGTCTTGGTGAGCATATTCCCGCCACAGACCGAGTCAATCAACTGCTTGTCTTCTGGGAAGAGGACATGGTAGAAGGTTCCCACCTTGAAGGCGTCGGTAAACCCATAGTTGGGACACTTGAGGAAGAGACTGGTGTATCTCTCCCAAGCATCCCGAATGGTCTCATCTTCATCCTGAGCAAAGTGGGTGATTTGCTTCTGCAGGTCCGCCGTCTTGGACTGAGGGTGGTAGCGGGTGAGGAACTTGTCCGCCAGGTTGGCGAACGTGGTGATCGAGCCTGGAGGTCGAGTGTCCATCCACTCCTTGGCTTTCCCCTCCAGAGTAAATGGCAAGTACCTCAGCTGGATGGCATCGGCTGGGACCCCATTGATCTTGATCCCATCGATGAGCTCGTGGAATCGCCTTAGGTGTGATCGGGGGCACTCCCCCTCCTTGCCACGGAACACCACCGAGCCGCGGACCATGGTGATGATAGAGGTGCTCACCTCAAAGTTATTTTCTGGAACTTGAGGGTGCTGGATGGGCGACCTCATGTCCGCGGCTCTGGCGGTCCAGTAATATCCCATGGTCTGTTCCTCGGGAATGACCACATCATGGTCCTGTGGGTCAACCATTTCTTCCTCCTCGGTGATTTGCAGCTGTGCTAGAGCCTCCTCCGCAGCCAGTCGCGCCTTTAAAGCCCGCTTGAAGTTCCTACAGGTCCCTTCAAGCTATTGGTCTAATGGTAGTAGATTTCTCGACTGGCTACGGGTCATGCGCTACCTACGCACAGAATGCAAACACAACCCGTGAAGGCACAAAGGTGGAGAAAGAGAATGCAGTTGGGAGTGAGTCCCCCTAGCTCCTTAGTTAGGTCAAGGTTGTAATTACCCTGGGTTGATTTACTGTTGAATAAACTGCGGAAAGTCCGACAGTAGCTTGGAATCTCTTAAGCTGACCAAGCCCTCTCAGGAAGACTAACCGGCAGGCGACTAGCCTTCACCGGGATAGACTGCTGAGGCAATAAACGTAGAACTCCACTACTGGAATTGGATTCCAGTACAAAGCAGTAAATCGATTAACTCTCGTATAACCAATCTAACACTACTGATTGATGAAGCTCTAACAACCTAATCAGATTCTATCTATCTCGGGTTGCAGCAAAAAATCAAGAAAAGATGATCAGACTTCAATTGACTCAATGAATCATGAATCAATCGATTAAAATCAATCAGTATATCAATCCAAACTCACTACAATCAAGATTCCTAACACATGGAACTAGGGTTCTTCATACCCAAGTGAGAGAAGGTTCTACTCCATATATATATATAGAGAGAGAGAGAGAGAGAGGAAAACATAAATCAGAGTAGTCATACTCATAAAGATGAGGATATTCTGCTCTGGAATGTCGATCTTCACTCCTGGGGATATACAAGACTCGTAATTATAACATAAAAAATATAGAGTGTTTTTATTGACATTGGAAAGGACATTATATTGGGAATTGTAAGAACAAGGATAGCTAAGGAAGATAAAATGAAATCTTCAGTATGCTTTACATGTAATAAAATTGGACATATGAGTTATGGGTGTACAGATCTAAATTAAAAGGTTAAAATTTCTAGATTGGTATGGTTACCAAAGGGAAGATAAGCGTCGGTTTGTAATTAGTCTGCGTCCAAGTGAGCATGGAAGACAGCGAGTGGATTCTGGATAGTGGATGCTCACATCATATGATCGGTAATGAAAAACTCTTCACAAAATTGGTTAAAGGAAAGAAACGTAAAGTTTATTTTGGTGATAATTATAGTACGGATATTCCGGGTAAAGGGGAAGTACGAATTGCACCAAAAATTAAAATGTAATGCTAGTCAATGGGCTAAAACATAATTTGTTTTCGATAAGTCAAATATGTGGAGAAACAAACATAGTAGTTTTTGAACCAAATGGATGCTATGTTGAAAAATAGTAGTTTTTGAACCAAATGGATGCTATGTTGAAAATATTGAAAGTAGGTCAATCTTATTCTCTGGAAAGAAAGGGAAAACTGTTTTGTATAAACTTGAGTGATAAAAATTTTATCAATGAAATTTGCTTAGTGTTTGTCGATAAAAATGACCAGTTAGAGTTGCAAAGGATATTAGGACATGTCAGTGTAGGCTCTTTATCAAAACTAGTAAGTTTGGGCCTAGTAACTGGAATTCCTAAGGTTAATCACAAGAAAGAGTTTTTTTGTGAAGCTTGCACGAGAGGAAAAACAAGTCAGGTCTTCATTTAAAAGTAAACAAGTTATTTCAACTTCAAACCTTTGGAACTGCTGCACTTAGATCTGTTTGGACCAAGCAATGTCATGAGCTTAGGAGGCAAATCATATGCATTTGTAATAGTAGATGATTTTTTCAGATTTACATGGGTGTCAATTTTGGCAAATAAAAGTAAAGCTTATAAGAACTTTAAAAATCTGATCAGGCGACTTCAAAATGAAAAAGAAACTAAGGTTATAAGTATTAGGAGCGATCATGGTGGAGACTTTATAACAGAAAAGTTTGAACAGTTTTGTGAAAAGTATGGAATTTCACACAATTTTTCCGCTCATAGAACACCTCAACAGAATGGTGTAGTAGAACGTAAGAATAAGACACTAATAGGCATTGCCAGGACAATACTAAATGACTATGGTCTCCCAAACACTTCTGGGCAGAAGTTGTAAATACATCTTGCTACACCATAAATCGTGCCTTGATCAGATCTAAACTAAACAAAACGCCGTATGAACTGTGGAAAGGAAGAAAAAACCGAATCTGAGATATTTCCATCCATTTGGCTGTAGATGTTTTGTGCTAAACACCAAATACAATCTAGGGAAATTCGATTCTAGGTCAAATGAATCTATATTCGTGGGGTATTCTCAAAATAGCAGGGGGTATAGAATATATAACAAAAGGACCCTCAAGGTAGAGGAGTCCATAAATATGTTATTTGATGAATCCTCAAGTAAGTGTGCATAATTAATTGAAGAAGATATGATCTCGGATTTGGAAGTACACAACTTAGTCTCGAAAAGAAACAGACGCTAAAGGATAAAGTTCTTCAAAAGAAATATGCTCAAAGTGAAGAAGAAGAAAAGAGAGAGGATTAGCCTGTGCAGGCACCTCCATACATACACAAGAGACATCCATCATCTCAAATAATTGGAGATATAAACCAAGGTATGATTACTCGATCTAAGTTACCAACAGTATATACTACCTTTGTTTCATTGCTTGAACCTAAAAATATTCAAGAGGCATTAGATGATGAGTTCTGGACTGCTTCAATGCAGGACGAGTTAGGATATTTTGAAAGATTAAATGTGTGGGAACTAGTACCTAAACCCGAGGATAAAATTATTATAGGAACAAAATCGGTTTACAAAAATAAAACAGATGACATAGGTGATATTACTAGAAACATATCTAGATTAGTGGCACAAGGGTATGATCAATAAGAAGGCATAGACTTTGATGAATCATTTGTTCTTGTAGCAATACTATAAGCAATTTGACTCCTATGTGCTTTTGCTGCTTCTAAGGGGTTTAAATTATATCAATGAATGTTAAAAGTGCATTTTTAAATTTAGATTTAAAAGAAGAAGTATACGTAGCTCAACCACCTGGTTTTGAAAATAATAAATTCCCAGACCATGTATATAAGCTAAATAAAGCCTTGTATGGATTAAAACAAGCTCCCAAACCCTGGTTTGATAGATTAAGTAACTTTTAATTCAAGATGGTTTTCACAGAGGCTTAGTGGATAAAACTTGTTCATTAAAACTGTAAAGAACCATACATTGTTGGTTCAGGTGTATGTTGATGATATTATTTTCCGATCAACTAGTCAAAGTTTATGCAAAGAATTTGAAACAACCATGTAGGGAGCGTTCAAAATGAGTTTAATGGGGGAACTTAATTATTTTCTAGGGCTACAAGTCAAACAAACTAAGAAAGGGACGTTTATAAGTCAAACGAAATATCTTCTAAACATGATTGAAGGGTTTGATCTTAAGAATCTTAAAACAGCTCTAACCCCTATGGGTTCCACCGTAAAATTAACGAAGGATGAATCTGGAACCCCTGTAGATGACAATGTATCGTGGAATGATTGGGTCACTACTATATCTGACAGCAAGTCAACATGATATAATGTATAGTGTGTGTGTTTGTGCAAGGTTTCAAAGTTGTCCTAAAATAAGTAATCTAGCAGTAGTCAAAAGGATTTTTGGATATCTTCTTGGCATGACTCATTTAGGGTTGTGGTATTCTTGTGAGTCTAGTTTAGAACTTATTAGCTACAGTGACTCTGATTATGTTGTATGCGTTGTTGATATAAAAAAGTACATATAGTACTTGCCATTTCTTGGGAACTTCCTTAATATCATGGGCTAGTTAAAAGCAAAGTTGTGTGGCCTTGTCCACTGCTGAGGCAGAATACATAGTTGCAGGACTGAGTTGTACACAACTCTTGTGGTTAAAATTTCAACTTCAGGACTATGGTTTAGATATAAGTTCTCGCCCTATTCTCTGTGATAACACTAGTGCGATAAACATGACTAAGAACCCAATTCAACACTCTCGGACCAAGCACATTGAAGTAAGATATCACTTCATCCGTGACCTAGTTCAAGAGGGAAACAATTTGTCTGGAGTTCATTAGTACAAAAATGCAGTGGGCTAACATTTTCACTAAACCCTTCGGGGCAAAAAAATTCATACCTATTCAACGTGAACTTGGCTTATTTTGCCTCAATGAGATTGAATCTCTATGAGCTCTGATTCTGCGGATATATTCTTACCATTCTCAAGAATTCCGGTTTAGGCCAAAATTATCAAAAGGCATATCAAAACTTTCCTTCATTATGACTGCGCGAAATTCCTTTCCAGATTTAGCCCCGCCTCTATATATTGAAATCTCTCTAGGGCTCTGTCTCTCATCAATCTTCCATAGGTACACTCTATTCCCTGCCCATAAGTCAAAATGGCCTTCAACAATGCTCAACTGCATCCTTTTGTTGTTTTCAACAATCAAGGCTTCCGCATTGTTGCAGCTTACTTCAGATACCTTCGCAGGTTCAGAGATCGTCCCATCTACCCTTCCTTTTCCATTCACCCTTCTAGTTTTAATAAATATGACATGAACATCCCCTCTCTTCTTGGTGGTCTTTGCGGGAGCTCATTGGTTGAGAACATGCGCTTTAGCTACCGTCGTGAGGCAGTACGGGTGTTCTATGTCAATCTCAAACGTGGTCCTGGTTGTGATCCGTCCTCCTTCATGACAGTCGTGTTTGACTATGAGATTACATTCACACCTGAGCTTCTGGCCACCATTCTCGATCTTAATCACTAAGGATTGCAGGCTGGCATGGATGGTGAATTTTCTGAACTGGGGTTCACTTTTGATGCTGCTCTGCAAACCCTCACTCGTGATATAGGTCGTTACTATCCTTCCCCTCTACCTGCTGGTCGCTTATATGATGATTTGAAGGTCTTTCACTTCTTCATCACTCGTTGCTTTTTGCCTTGTGATCTCTCTAGCACTGATATCTTGCATTCTTCCGATCTTTGGATCTTATCCAATGCTAAGGATGGTCACCAAATCAGCTATTCATTGCTCATGATTCACCACATGATTCGGTTTGGACTAGAATACTTTAGTGGGCCTTTGCCTTTTGGACCCTAGATCACCAAGTTACTCTACAAGCTGGGTATTGATTTGCGTGACAAGATCACCCTCTGCAACGTCTTGGACGATCTGCATCCCCAACATCTAGGGATGGCAACAGATCGGTTTGGGCGCGCATAGTGCATATCCGTTACCCTACCCAAAGTAGTTCGGGTTTTACCCATACCCATACTCACTAAAGAAATGGGTAGAAAATTAAAACCATGCCCATACCCGTTCGGGTTTCGGGTATCCACGGATATCCATGGGTAATAATTTTCTTTATAACTCCAACCAATATGTTAATATTCACACGTATTTTCACATTATATAAGAGGAAAAGCACGACAATAGTTCACTAGAATGAAGAAAATTAATTAAAACAACATAATTGCATAAAATGTTATATTTATATGCTAAATAACAAATATGTTCGAGATAAATAATGATTTTCTAGACAAAATACATGTGCATGTGTATAATCGAGTGAATTCGGATTGGATAGTGAGAGAACCATGCTCACACATTACCCACAATATTCCGGTTCAGGTTTTACCCATACCCACTAAAAGTCCATTGGGTTCGGGTTTTACCCTACCCGATTAGAACGAATTCGGGAGGATATCCACGGTTATGGATATTTTTTTCCATCCCTACCAGCATCTTTTGGCCAAGTTAGATGCTGAAGTAGGCCCCCGTAAGCTTGTCAGTGGCTCGGAGAGGGGGGGGGGGGGGTGTCAGGGTCAGTCTTGAGTTTCGTGCTTCTGGAAGGCTCGTTGGGGCACTTATTGATGCAGGTGTGACAGTAGTTAAGCGAGAATCATCAAGGGCAAGGAAGCATACTGCCAATCTGAAGCGACTTAGGCAGAAAGACCTATCGTGGCCTAAGTTTGTATATGAATTAAGAGCAGTCAATGATCCAATGAGTTAGGATTCATAATCTGGGGAAGAAGAGTGTATTTTTAATTATGAGTCTCCACCAGAATATCGTTTCTAGAAGCCATAGTAAGTAGACGTAGGGGGAGATTCTGGAGTCATAGTAGTATTTGAATAACTATTGGAACCATATGATTTGTGTTGGGTCTTTGTTTTTCTATTTTCAACCATGTTTGATTAATGAATAAGAGGATTCTCCCTGATGTCTTCTTTGTGTTCTCAAGTAAAAGAATTGTGTAAATTTCTTGGGTTCTATATTAGAACATGCTGCACCAATCATGTGTTAAATGTGTGCAGGTCACAAAAAGAGCCAGTAACAAGTTTAGGGGGAGTTTGTTGGGTGAAGCTTGGTCAATGACACAGAGAAATTATGGAAAGAAGACAAGCAACAGTATCTTGAAGAACCAAAAAGGAAAGTCCTGAAATGGTGATCAATTACGGCAATCAAGAAACCATATTGATTTCTCAAATCAGTGAGCAAACGGTCGGCATGAGTAGATTATAAAAGATGGGATTATGGGTAGAATAGAAACACATCTTTTTCAGGAAAATTTCAATTAGATTACAAAGATTGTCAAGCTTGTAATTGAAAATAAAAAGAGAGAGTTGTAAGGAAAATAGCTCGAGAGTTAGAGGTTGTGACATCATGTCAGAATTCTGCAGGAAGTAGAGCTTTGAAGCGGATTCTGATCAGTGACATGAAGTTACCTAGAGACATCCGTTGTATTATATAAATCAAATACAAATCATCATAGTGAAACGCCAAAGGGTTCAAGCAGAACTCCTTTGGCCATGGACTAGTCGATACTGATTCATTAGTATCGGAAACCACATAAAAATCCTCTATGTCAATTTACTTTCTAGTTTATCTAATCAAGACTTTAGTTAGTCTCTGTTTCTGATTGGATTCTATGTTTTTGCAGGTTGATTTGAAACAGGGAACTGAAGCAGAGGAGGGAGAAGAACTTGCTCGAATAAATCAACTCAGACTGCTGAAGAGAAAGAATCTTTTTGAGCCCGTCAAACTTAATACTAGAACCTTGGGCTTGAAGCCCAATATTGATTTAGACTTAATTGGTTTTTATTTACGATTTCTGAAACAAAAGTCTTCGGCTTCATTAGTTTTTTTTCTTTTGATAGAAGGGAGGCTACAAGCCAGAAGGGTAACACAGAACAAGAATCCTTACATCAGTCACACAGACACTGCTCAGACGCAGGCCCCTGACAGGGATCCAAAAGAAGAACTAAGACTTTACCCTGAAGGTATCATCCGCGGGAAACTAATCCCTATCATATCTTCCCTAAGAATCTGCTCTAAACCGGTTGGAGGTTCGATTAATTCATACGTACCGAAAGGATAGACGAGACTGTGCTTCGAGAGCCAGTCCGCGACTCTATTCCCTTCGCGATATGTATGAGTTAACCGAACCATCCAATTCCTTGCCATCATCCTGCGAATCGCCACAAGGAGAGTAGAGTGAGGGTGAACCGGGTCATCTCTTTTCTTAATCAATTCCACAGCCAGCTGAGAGTCGGTTTCGAGGATCAGAAACTGAACTCTTTGTTTCCAAGCATAATTAAGGCCATGAAAAATACCCCACAGCTCCGCAAGGAGAGCCGTCCCTGTACCAACCTTGCTGCAGAAGCCACCCAGCCAAACTCCATCACTGTCTCGAAGGCTGCCCCCTGCCGTAGCGGTTCCTGGATTTTCCTGAGCTGCTCCATCAGTATTGAGTTTGAACCAACCTCGAGGCGGCGGAGTCCAGCTAATCAGTTCTTCGGACCGGTTCCGATTTGTCTGATCCATTATGTTAAACGAAGCTGACATCCAGGTTCTCCCCCAATCAGTAGCTTTAGCAATCACATAGTTGATCCAGGTTGTCCTTGTGAGAATTTTATTATGGAAGAGGTGTTCATTTCTCGTTTTCCAAATATACCAGCTTATAAGTGAAAAGAAACTCGCCCAATCTCCAGGCCATTCTCCTTCCTTAGCATCATTGATGTTGGAAGTGAACCAGGAATCATGATCTGTGGAAAAGAAAACTTGCTGTTGAGAAGCAGGAACCACTTTCTCCCATATCTGCTTTGCCACAGAACAGTCCCTTAAGCAGTGAAGGTTGGACTCAATATCAGTTTAGCATAGGGGCATTTATCATCTCCTGTCAGGTGACGAAATTTCCTGACCTCATTTGTCGCTAACCTTCCTTTAATGGCCAGCCAGATAAACCATCTAACTCTCTCTGGACAGTGGAGCTTCCAAACCTTGTTCCAGAAGGTGGGGGAGGAAGTACCTTGTTGTGGCGATATGCTTTTGAAAGCTGAGCTCGTAGTAAATCTACCATTGGCGGTTTCTGTCCAGAACAGGGTATCTTCCGTCGAGGATAAGGAATCCACCCAGAAACTCCTGATTTTGTCGGTCAGTTCAGTCGGCAGTAAGTGACTAAATTCTCCTTCTTTCCAGCCCCGTTCTGGATCCCAAAAATCAGCAACCGCCTTGCTCCTTAGCTCCAAGGGTATCTCCTCCACTACATGATCTTTCAAAGGTTCCTGCATAATTCACGAATCATACCAAAAGTTAGTCTTTTTCCCATTTTTAACATTGTGAGCCATACACTTGCTCAAAAGGCTAGCAGTTTGGGTAAAACTGCGCCAAGAATAAGAACTTCCCTTTCTTTTATCAAGCATACTGAGCCCCTTCTTCGTCCCACAATATTTGCTTCGGAGAATTCTTGCCCAAAGTGAGTCATCATTAGTGATTATCCTCCACGCCCCTTTAGCCAACATTGCTTGATTTGCTAGCTTCGTCGGCCGGATACCTATCCCACCCAAGCTTCGAGGTAAAGTCATTTGATTCCACGCCACTGGATGAAACTTTGACTTCCCTTCTTCTTCTCCCCAAATAAACCTCCTATTGATTTTATCTAAAGAATTGCAGATTGTAGAAGGAAGGGACTCCGTGAACATCGGGTAGACAGCCATGGAAGCTGCTACCGATTTCACAAGGGTGATCCGTGCTGCCACCGAGAGATGCTTGGACTTCCAGCTTGCTAATTTGGTTTGAATTTTGATCAGTAATTCCCTGTATCTACTTGGAGAAATTCTCCCGTTGATAACATGGAGCCCAAGGTATTTTCCCAAATCTGCAGTGAGTCTGATCCCAGCACGCGAACTGAGTTGTTGAGCCTTGTCCCTCAGAATGTTGGGGGAAATGAACATAACCGACTTCTGGAGATTAACTTTTTGACCTGAACTAGCACAAAAGTCCTCCAAGCAAGCCTTCATAACATCAATTTGTTTGCTTTCCGCTTCTGCAAAAAGAATCAAATCATCAGCGAAAAATAAATGTGAAATCTTGGGACCATCTTTAGATAGAGACAAAGGTTTCCACAATTTGTTATTCACAGATTGCTCAATTTTGTGGGAAAGTCTTTCCATGCATAAGATAAAGAGATAGGGTGAAAATGGGTCTCCCTGACGAACTCCTCTCGAAGGAGAGAATGAGGTAGAAAGCTCTCCGTTCCAATTAATCTTTATCTTGTTCTGCTCTACACAACTCATGATTCTGGCAATCCAAGTACTAGGCAGCCCTATCTCCCTAAGGGTATCCCTTATGAAATCCCAACGGAGACGATCATACGCATTTTCCAGATCTATTTTAACAATGACACCACCTTTTTTCCCTTTCTTATTCCTGAGAGAGTGCAAGGCTTCTTGAAGAATTAAGATGTTGTCATTCGTCTGCCTTCCTTTAACAAAACCACTCTGAGACGGGGAGATCAGTTTTGGCATCAGGGTTCTGAGCCTATTCCCAATGGTTTTCGTAATAGCCTTGAGTGCCACATTATTTAGGCTAATAGGTCGAAACTGAGCCGGAGTTTCTGGTTTGTCTACCTTAGGAATCAGAATCATATTTGACTCCATCACTTCCTCGGGTAACTCCCCATTTTCAAAGAAGTTCACTGCCATTGCTGTCAAGTTTTTCCCTACTAGATTCCAGAACTTTTGATAGAATATGGCTTGAAAACCGTCTGGACCAGGCGAGGAGAGAGGTTTCATATCAAAAACTGCCCTGTGAATATCTGTGATGTGTATGGGGCGGAGAAGAGTCAAAAGATCTCCCTGACTGAGCCTCGGGAATTGACCTCTAGGCATAAGATCCCTATAGACAGAATCATCTTGAGTATATAATTCCTTATAGAAGTTAAGAATCATATCACTCAAGATGTTAGGGTCTGTAATCCATTCGTCATTGCTGTTCTTAAGCGTTAAAACCTTCTTCCTGCGCCTTTGTCGTGTTGCTTGGTGGTGGAAGAAAGAAATATTCTGTTCCCCAAGCTTTATCCATTTTTCTTTAGCTCTTTGGAACCAAATAACCTCTTCTTGGGTAAGCAGGGTATCTAATTCTTGTTCCAACTTCACTTGTAATTTGAGCACACCAGGGCTAAAAGTTGTGGCAAGTCTCTCTGTAATCCCCTGTAGCCTTGCTAAGAGGCGTCTTTTCTTCTTATTTAAGGATCCAAACACATCCCTGCTCCAGACTTGAAGTTTTTGAGTAATGTCGCGGAGCGCTTGAGGCAAATCATCTTCCTTCCTCCAATTATCATTGAAAAAATCCTTGAATTGGTTGTGTAGCAGCCAAGCCGCCTCAAATTTAAACTGTCTCGGCGAATTACTAGGATTGCTGGTAGCTGAACTGGACGTGAGAACCGGCAGATGGTCTGAATGAAGCTTTGATAAATGTTGGACTACTGTATCCGGGAAAGTAATGTTCCACCTATCATTGCATAATGATCTATCTAGTCTGCTGGCTTTCCTCGTGTGAGACGAATTCCCCCGGAACCATGTGAATTTGGCTCCAGAGTAACCCAGGTCAGTGAATTGTCCTTCATTAATCCAACTAGAAAATCGCTGACACCGCCGAAGAGCACTAACAGAGACAGGATTAGAAGACTCATCTGGAAGGCAATAGGCATTGAAATCACCTGTGACTAGCCAAGGAAGGTCGCAGTTTCTACTCGAGTTCACCAGATGATCCCATAGGAGAGTATGAAACTTGTATTGGGGACTGGCGTAAATACCAGTAAGCAGCCAATCCTGATGATTCGTCGTAGTAACCTTAACCGTAAGATGTTGTTTGCTTGCATCCACCAAGACCACTGAGAAATTGCACGATTTCCATGCCATCCAAATACCCCCTGCTCTTCCATCCGCATCAACCCTGAGAACCGAATCATACCCCATCTTACTGCAGACAGCATCCGCCCGATCCCCACTGATTTGTGGTTCAAGAATAATCATAAAATCCGGGCTATGAGTATCTGCTAATAGTTTAATAGCACGAATAAATTTCCTACCACCTGCACCACAAACATTCCAGGACAAGATTTTGAAGTTAGTTGGATTAACCATAATAAAGGGGATAAGAGGGAAACTAGGAAAATAGAAAACCGAAGGAATCAATTCGACGATTGAAGATCCGTCGGAGTCACAGCCAGATTGGAGGTCTGAGGCGTCTTCTCTGTAAGAATTGAGAGATTAGTCTCCTCCATCGCTACATCGCTGCTTCCTGCCGCCGCTTTCTTCATAAATTCTTCCGCCTTGAGTTGAGATTGGGCCAAGAACGTCGACACCTCTTCTGCAGTCTTGGGGAAAGCCGGGTGCTTTGATCCTTGACTCAATCCCTTCTTCGCAGGGCTTTGAATTTGAAGTGATTTCTTGGACATTTTCAGAGGAATCCCTTGCCGATACTGGGATGCGGTCGTAGCTTTCTTAGCATAATGTTGGCGAACTGATGAATCTTCCCGGTTGGGGTTCTGATTCTCTTTAGGTTTAAGAGTGAGCTCCGGGACAGAGATGATATGGATAGAAGTATTATTTTGACCGAGGACAGTTCGAACTTGGGTAGTATGGAAATGAGATTTAGCCGAAAGGTCGGATGACGAGGAAGAGCTGGGCCCAGGAATTGAGGGGCTGTCCAAAGTTTTTTCGTTGATGCCCACCGGACGCCATTCTTGCACCACGTGGGCTTTTTTTGGCCCATTAGTTCCATTTGTTGATCTAACTTACAGAATTGCTATATAATATCTTCATTCAAATTAGGGTTCTCGACTTATCTGAAAAAGAAGGTAGAAAGTCTCGCGCTCGACGCCACCAACAGTTCCACCTATGGTCACAGTGCTATTTGTACACAACGTATTTATGATGCGTATTCTAAAATTTTGAAATTATATGAAATGATTAATTTCATATGACATTAAGGTGATCAAACTTATTTCAATTCTTGAAATTCTTATAACCTTTCCTCAATGACCAAATATTGTATTCTAAAAGATTATAAAACTTGTGAATAATCTTTCATGACATGTCTATTTAATGATGTTGTCACTAAATTATCTATGGTTGCAAATAAAATTGGTATACAAGAAAATAATGAATACAAAACACATAACCTTTGATCAACATTTGTTTCTCTTGCTTGAGAAATAATACATATATATATATATATATATCAACATCTAAACTTTAAAGTATTCTAAACAATGCAATAGAAAAATAATAAGAAAATAACATTACTCATCCATATTGTATACATTAAAAAATATTTGTCAACCATCATACTCAAAATTTAGTTGAACGACAATCTTATTTCCTTGGCAAATAAAATTAAACCTCTTTTGTGGTACACACGATGCTAATGCATATAACCACATCAATGCGTCCATGAAAACTCAAGACCAATTTCATGATTTAATTTTTATTGTGTTTAGTTCATATTAAACCAAATAACACTAAATGATACATACATTTAATTAGTTTATAAGATAAAGAATTAAATAAGTAACATAATAAGCAAAATTGATTTGCAAAAATTGTGTTATTTTAAACTCACCCATGAGTCTAATCATGCCATGTTATCATGAGATTCAAGGTTTAGTGGTTAACCAAACTAAAACTTTCAAAGAACTGGTCACTTATAGTTTGCATAAAAATATCTTTGCTTTATATAGTTATATAAATTTATGTTAAGTTAATAATTGTACATCGCTTCTATGCATACAATACTATCATTCAATATGCAATATTAGACCAATGATATTTGGTTTGCGATTTTAAAATTATTTTCATTTATTAAATAGACATAAATTAAACTAACTATTAAAATAATCAGAAGTATCAAAATAGAAATCAAACACCAAATAAGTAATTATGATAGAGTTAGTGGGCTAGCAACCATAGTGAAAACTCCTATGATTTTCTTATTTCGGGTTTTGTTATGTTTTTAATTTTGAAAGATACAATCATTTTCTTAGTGCAATTAATCATGATTCGTGTCATTGACCAAAAATATAATGGTACAAATAGCGAGAGTGATGTATTTTTTCTTGTCAATAAGAAATAATTATGGAGACAGATCTTCCCTTCATATTTTTGCTCATGTTGTAGAAAATTTGAAATGCTGAAAGCTGTTACCAACTCTGCTACAATATATTTGTTGATGATTAACCGTCAAAACATCAATAGCAATATTACAATAACGATAATAATAACATCCATATATATAATTCTTGTACGTGTCCTTACATAAAATTAATTTGTTATTTTATTTAAAAATTAATGAATAATATCCCGAAAGATGAATTTAGTTTTCTAGGATTGCAATGAGTTTAATTAGTTTTAGTAAGGAATGAACATCTCAGTCGATATTGTACAAATTTTTGTTTGAACTAGAATATAATATCTGTCAATTTCATTGATCTATTAACAAAGACACTACTAGTGTTGATTGTTATTATGGGCGCATTGCCCTTTATAGAATTTATTGTACAATGTGATCCCGCGTTACTATTAACATTTCATCGTACCTTAAAATTCTTCAAGAATTAATAGACATTTGTAGAATCATTAGTTGTGCCCACGCATGTAAGAAAAATAGGGTGGCGAAAAAGTTAAGGCTTAGTGTTCACTATCAATGTTTAGTGCTCTAACGAATGAAGAAGAAACGAAGTACGAAGATGAGGAAGATAATAGAGATACCCAACAAAGGAACAAAGCAAAGATCTAGCAAGATGAAGAGTTTAAGATGGAGAATCCCAAAACTGATAAAGGTAATTAAAGATGCTACTATTGTAAATTAGCAAAAAAGGAAAAAGGATAAGGAGAGTCAATAAAGTAGGGGAACCAACAAACTAAGAACCACAACGTCATCATAGAGAACACATCTCACACCTTTCTTATGGTTAAAGTTCTTTCGAGAATTGTAATGTATCGTTTGGTTGTGGGATTTGGGTGATGTATTTGACACACAAATACAAAGTATTATGTATTTGGTAACCAACATTGTTTGTTGATGTATACAAATCCGTGGGACTCAGGGATTTGGACATTTTTTTAGCTCCAAATCCGTGGACCCCACGTATTTGCTAAAGTTTCAGAGCACTATGGTTTTAGGTTTTGGATGAAAACTCTTTTTCCAACAATCATGACTAACTAAGGCCCTGATCACTTCCATTTTCGTTTCCTGTTTTTCTGTTTTCATGTGATAAATTTGGCAACCGAAATGAGAAAACTTGTTTACTTTTCATTCTGTTTTCTATTCGTTTCCAACTATGAAAACAGAAAGTGGCAACTTCCTGCTGTTTTCGGAAACGACAAAATGTTGTTTTCACCTGTTTTCAACATCTGTTTTCTCAAAAACAGGAAACAGAAATGAAAGTAAACAGACCCTAATGTAGCGACAACGAACTCTAAAAACTTTAACGAATACAAAAACATGATTTTAACAACAAAACATTAAGAAACCAAAAATCTTAATCTTTACAAATAATCAAGACTCAAATTACAATTCATTTGCATCGGGGATTTGACCTGAGGATTTGACCTCTAACAGTATCTTTAGGAAGAAGAAAGTATGTATCAAAGATAATAATGATGGTGGGCGGGGCAAAGAACTTGTCTTGAGGTCATGTGGCTCTGTGGTGAAAAATAGTTTTTGTGTCTGATCAACAACTTTGAGTCGCAGTCAATTTATCCTTAAACTGTTAGGGCAAGTCCGTGTTCTGTCCCTCATTTAGATTGTTGTATTTTTTAGGATGGGAAAAGAGTAAATGAAGTCCCCTAGTGAGAAGCCCTGGATCATTTGGAAGATTTGAGATTTGTATTTGCTCTTGATTGGAGGCAGTATGAGAGAAAAGTTCATGATCATATAGAGGCATGTAGATGATCTTCTAAGCTCTCATCACTACAAGTATGCAGCACTCATGTATTTGGTGCTGGCTGCTACATTTAATTTTCTGATATGCATTTGATACTCGGAGAAATCATTTTAGCAGCCATTACTTGCTTATCCCCTCATCCTTCATACCAAGTGGGGTGTCATGTGTACTGCATTTTCCTTCCATCTTTGAAAGTTACTCTTCTCTATGTTTTCTGAATCTATAAACTTGCAGAATAACTTATTTCTTTGTCTGTCAACAGGATGTTAGATGTATGCGAACCAGTTATCTATGTGGGTCTTTAATTAGCATTCAAGTATGTCTCCCACGTTGATAGGGGATTATGAGATTCTTGAATCTATATGAGCTAGGATGTGTGCATTTTTGCACGGACAGAGTAATGATCTATCAATTTGGCTTTGTGCACATGATTGTTTTTTTATGTCTGACATGGTGTTTGAACATGGTAAATGCAGTTGAAAGAGCGAGCGGAGAAGCTTGAGAATTGGAGAATGAAAGAAGCTAAGAGGGAAGAGAAGAAAAGGGCTGCTAAGGAATTCAAGCGAGAAATATTCAATAGTTTTCTGCAATGATTTCTGAAACTAAACTTGTCTCGTTTTTGCAACTGTATTCAATCATTACCTATTTTGTGTACATCTTGATATTGGCCTCTAGGGGAGCAAGGAAAGATTCTATGGTAGGAGAATCATCATCCTTGAGACATGCATGAAGACTTTTAAGATTTGCTTCTGCTGCATGTTGTGCTGATAATGCCTCTTTCTTTTCATCCACTAGCTTCTTGATTTCGAGGTTCTGACAAAATTAAGTAGCCATGACAGTCTAGCAGACATTAGATCATCTTAAACAGTATGTAACTTGAGCAAGAATGATATGGACCAAACCTTGTTATCGATTGGATTGTCTAAGGCACGTAGCTTCTCATCTAGTTTTGTCATCTGAATCCTCAGTTGGTAAGAAAATGAACCGAGATTAAAATTGACATGATCAAACACTGGAGTTGTTTGATAGAACAAAGAGAATAAAGGGAAAATCTTAGCCTACTGACCTCTTCTATGGCATTGTTCTTCAATGCATCAACTGTTCTCAAACCTTTGATTTATCCACGAGCAGCTCCCAGCTCTCTATCTTTCTCTGGGATAATCAGGAAACATATGCTTCTAGCGAAACAACATACGAACAGAAGTTTGCTATATGAAAAGGGACATCAGAACTCAATCTTCCACTTTCCTAATCTGCCTCTATGCCACTCGCAATTAGGAATCCAGCATGATAAGCACAATCGACGACCTCCACCTATCTCCACCTCTGACGACAAACAACAGCAAAGCCACCACCCACGACGTCCCCACTGTGTTCTTCTCCACCGGAGGATACACGAGGAACGTCTACCACGAGTTCAAAGATGACCTGATCCCTCTCTACATCACCTCCCACCAGTACAACAAAAGGGTCATCTTCGAGTTCCACGACTGGTGGATCTCCAAATACTCTGACATCCACTCCCACCTCTCCAACTACCCCGCCGTCGACTTCTTATTATGAAAAACAGACCCACTGCTTCCCGGAAGCCACCGGAGGTCCTAGACTGACATAAATAATCCATGTGCACCTCAAATGTGTTGTGGACAGTTGGGAGATATACCACCCTACAATGGTTTATGTTAGGCCTAGTTTTATCATGAGGGAGGAGAGTTATGGAGAGCAATTACAAGTATTGAAAGATGAACCTGCTTATCGTGGCTTCCCAATGACGACTTTGATTCAATTACAAAGTAATCAGAGAAGCAGAGAGGAGCACGTTCAACAATGAAAAAGTGAGAGCATTCAATCAATGCATTGAGGATTGTGGGATCATTGGTTTGGTGTTAACATGCCCCAATTTCATATGGGGTGAAATTTAGTTGCTGTACGGGTTGCACCCCAGCGCTGCTACCCTTCCACATGTCGCCTACTATTGGTTGAAAAAAAATGAATTAATTATTAGTTGTTAATTTTTGTGGACGAAAATAAGGGAAACGGAATGCGGACGGGGCATTCAGGATTATTATATATTATTTTCTTAACGGGAATTTGGAGAAGCGGAATGCGAACGAAGCGGAGACGGGTATCTTTTATTTTATTTTGCAGGGTTTTAAAAGCCCATTCCTTTTAGGTTTAGGTTGTCTCCACCGAATAAACATACCCTCTGTTATCTCTCAAACTATTTTGCGCCCAAAAAAAATTTCTAGCCTATGTCACTTGCCTGTTGTATCTTTTCTCAAGCATGACTTCTCCAACATCACTAGGTTCCAATCTTTTTTCCTATTCCATTTATTAGTTTTTATTTTGTGTTTTGACTAGGTTACTAACGTATGTTGTCAATATTTCTTCTAGACTTGGCTACTATAATCAATAATCAAATTTCTCTTTGTTCTTTTAAATTCTTATTTGGAATTTGGATACAAAGGATGATTTTGCTTAGGTATTATTCTGTCGGCAATATTGTATTAGCAAATCTTTGTCATGTATTATTGGTTGCTTTGACATGTTAATTAATTAACTTTTTTTGCCACAATATTTGTTTATATAGTCTTATGAGTATTATTCTGGGAATATAATATTACAAGCACGTTCATATACTTGAAACATATTATATTCTTTTCTCCAGGTACAACTCATTAGGGCTAGGAATCCAGACCAAACCGTATGGGAAACCACGGTCTAGACCGTATCGTATGGTTTGGTCTGGACCGTGAGACCAGAACTATGGTCTGGTCTGGTTTGCGGTCTCCTCCTTTAGAGCGTGGTCTGAAGTGGTCTGGACCGCGGTCTACCGCAGTAAACCGCGACACACTAACTACTACCTTGGACAAAAATAACACTAAATTGAACCTCCATATGTGTATTTGAAGAACAAAGTTAGTTGATTCTTCATCTAGTTGATAGCCAACAAATTTCAAAATGATCGCTTATATGTTATCTCCTTATCAAAGTACCTCACAAAAATTAGAAAGACTCATAAATAATATTCACAGATAATGTCTAGACTATGGAGTCGATAAAAATTAAACACTACAAAAAAATTTGTTCACCTTGATGAGATAAGGAAAATTATTGAGAGATATACGACCATCTTAGTGGTTCGAAATTACCTCGACTTGATCAAAAAGGTTATCAACTGGGAGAACCTTCGGATCACTCGAGAGAGGAGAGAAGCGGTAGCACAAAGAGGAATAGGGAAATAAGGCTATTTGAAAATTGAAAAAACCCACTTCTATCCTCATATTTCTTCTCATTTAATACGATCACAATTTTTTGCTTCACTAGCATATTGGTCACTAGATTTTTTTTATAGATACCGGCGAAGGGTTGGAGGGCGAACAAGAGTTAATTTTTTTTAACATGGTCTGTCTGGTCCAGACCGTACCGGACCGCACCGCACAGGTGTGGTCTGGTCTAGACCGTATAGTATATGGTCTGGTCCATGGTCTGTGTTCCAACCTCTCGGTCTGGACCACAGACCGTATTTATGGTCTAGTCTGGACCGGACCGCACCGTTTCCCACCCCTACAACTCATATGAGTTTCAAAAAGCATATTATATTCTTTTCTCCATGTACAACTCATATGAGTTCCAAAACACATGATGAAAGGGTCGAAGTTCCATGTATAGGTATGAAGTTCGATGGTGATGATACTACTTACGAATTTTATAAAGCATACGCCCACAGTATTGGTTTCAGCGTAAGGAAGGACTATATTAAGAGAAATATAAAAGGACACTTGAAGAGAAGAATATATTGTTGTTCTAAAGAAAGAAGAAAAGGTTTCCATAAAAGGCGTGATCATGTGGCTTTCGAATGACCAATTTCAAGAATCGGATGTTTAGCAATTAGCACAGATGACATGTCAACTAAAAAAATGATGGCTTGATAGACGTTGTTTCTTTTGAAGCAGATCATAACCATGAACTTTCCCCCACTCCGATAAAGCACATGTTGAGATCCAACAGAAAGATAAGTTATGCTCAGAAAGCTATTGCAAATGATGTTGAGAGCTAGGTTACTAAGACAAAGAGGAGGGCGTGAAAACAACGAGTTTTTGGATTCAGACTATAAAAATTATATTGCTACACAAATAAGGGCTACAATGATTAAGGGAGATGGTCATGAAATCATGGATTATTTTCGTAAAGCACAATCAGAGGATCCATCATTTTTTTATTCGGTGCAGCTTGACGACGATGATCTTATCGTGAATATGTTCTTAGTTGATGGCAGGTCAATAATTGATTACAAGAACTTTGGAGATGTTCTATATTTTGATACAACTTATAGAACTAATAAATATGGTCGACCTTTTGCTCCATTTGTTGGAGTCAATCATCTGAAGCAGATAGTAATTTTTTAGGCAACATTACTTTATGATGAAACCATCGCATTCTTCAAGTGGTTGTTTGAAGCATTTTTGGGTGCAATGGATGGAAAGCAACCAAAGACCATATTGACCTATCAATCAACTTCTATGGCCAAAGTAATTGAAGAGGTATTTATGGAACCTCGTCATCGTTTATGTCTTTATCATATTTATCAAAATGGTGCTAAACACTTGAGCCATGTGTTTCACGGACCAGACCAATTTGCTAGTGATTTGACTTTATGTATATATGATTATGAAGATGAATGGCTTAAAGGTTGGGATGATATGCTTAACAAGCATAATCTGGAGAATAATGAGTGGTTGCATGGGATATCTTCAATAAAAGAAAAGTAGGTTATGGTTTATGGACGTCATATGTTTACTGCTAATATGAAGAGGACACAATGAAGTGAATCAATTAATAGTGTATTAAAGAAGTACTTGAAGTCGAAACACAATATGGTGTACTTTTTTACCATTATAATCAGTTGGTAGAAGATAAAAGGTACAAGGAACGACTTGCAGAGTTTAAAATGAGGGATACCAGGCTAGTGTTGAAAGCCGACGTTGAGATGTTAAGGCATGCATCAGAAGTTTACACTCCTAAAGTCTTTAAGTTGCTCGAAGAAGAATATCTCAAAGCTTGGGATTGTACCATTGATAAGATTGGTAAAACCGAAGGCCAGGAAGAATACAAAGTGAGATATGCTGGCAAAGGTGCATGGCATAGTGTTTGATTTGAGTCTTTGCCTCAAACAGTTGAATGTAGTAGCATGAAGTTTGAGTTTGTGGGGATTTTATGTGCTCATGCTTTGAAAGTTCTTGACAAGAAAAATATAAAGCACATCCCAAAGAAATATATCAAAGAGATGGACAAAGGATGCAAATGATGGAGATTTGAGGAGTTCAAGTGGAGTGCAGGGAAGTTCTGAGAACTCATTGGGAACCGTTACTTCAATATGCATTATAATTTTTGAGAGATATCCACACTAGCACCTGAGAGCGAGGAAATGTTTGAGCATGCAAGTGAAGTTTTTTCAAAATTGATGTAGTATTTGCAAGAAATAAAAAAATTCAAATGGTGGAACTTCTAATGAGGTATTATGCTCTAATGGTGAAGAAAAGTATCCAATCATAGTTGGAGTTAAGTCAAAAGCTATTGTTGGACGACCAAAAGGAAGAATTAAAGGTGCATTATGATATGATCCCAAATGGTCAACTATGCCCGTTTAAATTACTTGACGAAGAAGCTATCGAAGTTGGGAAGAAGAATGGCAGAATTTGGCTAAGTCAAAATCCGAGTTCATGGTATCTACTTTGGAAGCCTGTATCTCACAAGCTCAATGAAAATTGGAGACCAAGAGCTTGTTTTACAGATAAAGTTGCCATCTTTCCAATGGTATGCTTTTTGGATCCAGAAGATGTCATTCTGGTTTTTTTTCAAGGCCTCAAAGTTTCTACCTCGAAATTGGAAAACTGCCAAAAAATGGTCAAGTCTGGAAACGTGTTTGTGAAGCCTATTTTGGAGCTCAATTCGAGGAGCATGGAGCTGATTCGAGTCCAGAGGCTTCCACAAAATGAAAATAGTTATGTTTATCTACCAATGGAAGGAATTGGATGAAAGATCGGAGTTCTGAAAGGCCTCGAACAAAAAGCGTGAAGTTAGTACGAAAGCTGCTTTTGGACTGTTTGCTGGCAACTTACTTGTACTTCAAGAAAGGAAGTTTAAACCCGAATTTTGAGTCCTTTTTAGAGTATATTTTTTACCTTAATTGTTTCATAGTTCTATTAGGTTTGTATTAGGTTTGTTTGCCTTTAAATACCTTTCTAGTTCTCGTTGTAAAGTAGATAAGATTATTGTTGAATGAAAATTGCTCCTACGTGAGTGTTTTGAGTTCTTGATTGTGTCTCGAGAATTTACTTATTTGTCTTTAGCTTTGAGTGGATTCCGTAGCTAATTTCAAGACCCTTGTTCAAACTATTCTGTGGAGGATTCCAGAATCGTTTAGCAAGTTCTCTTATCAATCGAGTAATCACCTTGATTGTGGCGAGAATTCTACCTTTTCATCATTATCGTTCGATTGTTTGTGTTAGCTATGTATTCTAATCAAAATCACCCCCTGGTGCTTCATCACATTAGAGCGGTGAAAATTTCATAAAGTTCAATCAAAACCACAGGTTATTCCCTCTCGGCTCCCCTTGGTTTGCTTCAATAATATAAAACTACTGTATTATTTTGTTATTATGAGTTATTTTTAAAATATTTTATATACAGGGTAAGAAGCTGAAAGCTAGCTCTTCTCAACAAGTTGAAAGGAGTACTGAACTCCGAATACAAAATAACCAGGTTTCCCTGTCTGTTTTATATTCCAAAGAAAGATGCCAGTGTTTTTTTCTTCTAATAAATTCTAAGTAAAAATATCCTTGAATCATATCTTAACAATTGGTTAATTTTAGGTGACGATGGGACATCAATTTCAAAGTTTAATTTTTAATTCAATAGGAGAAAATTTTGATTCTACACCTAGTATAAGCAATATATCATGCACTTATTGTTGCAGGTATGAACTCAATTCGATTGTTTATTTATTAGTTAATTTCTGATCATGCTCCGGTGCGCGATCTAGCTTTAAATTTATAAAATCGAAGCAGACTCTCTAATCAATCCTAACTAAACCAAGTATAACCTATCTAGGGTTGTAGTAAAGTGGCTCTGTCGTATTCTAAGGGATCCCTAAGTGTATTATTACTTCGCTCCGAACTACTATCTAATAGGGATGGAAGTTTGGTGAGGGGTTTTAGCTAAATTAACCTACTCCTAAGGCAAATAAACAACCAACCAAGTGGTTGGGAGAACTCTAGAGATGAGATGGTTGCCTAAGGTCGAATCCTCCTAGCTAAGGTTGTAAAGTAGGGTTAATCGAATGTGGTGAGTGAGCTCTTTTCCGTGGGATTTCGTTGTCGTTATCCACACGCTTCCGATTATGCCTCCCCTAAACCCATGTTCCAGTCACCTCGATCTAGGCTATCGTATCTGAGGCATTAAGCTTATGGCTCATTTCAATGGAAACTATCCACCATACACACCGAGGTTTCATCTTGGGTTTCATCTAGGAAGGCTACCAATAGTAGGGGTTCGGTCGCCTCGACCACTATAGGCCCCCATTCACTCATCTAACATAAACTCGCCAGATGGCGGATACCCGTCTAACTCTAGAACTCCATACCCAGCGCGGTTGCATAAAGTAGGCTAAGAGAGAAGATTATGGAGACTTACCCAAGCTTCATCATTAGGAAAGAGTGGCATTAAAATCAACTAGACAAACACATTCATTCTTTCATAACCCAAACATTCACAACCTATAAGTAGGGTTCATCTACCCTAAACAACCACTAGAGATTCAAGTCATTAGAGAGAAGAAGAAAATACAAACAAGAATAGGGGAATGATGGAATCAAGCTTCTTCTCCTTGCTTGCACCTTCTCCTTGCTCATTGGGTTGGATGGATTTTCAATGAAGCTCTTCCAAGGTGTTTCTCTCTCTAAAGCACTCCAAAACCCTAATTTTCTCACCTCAAGGCGGCTCTCCTTTTTCACTCCAATAGCTCTTCTATTTATAGGCGCTGAAAATCTCGGGCAAGTTCGCGACCTGGAGACGAGTGATCGCGGCCGCGAACTACTACGTCGCGGGCGCGATCTTTTTACTTTGTCAACATCCACGTTGCCCGCGAAGAGAGTGGGGAAACTCACTGTTCTCCCGGCGTCCCCTTCCAGAGTTCGTGGTTTGCATGCTCAATTTTGTGGTCGGGATCTTCTCACCTTGGTCTGCGATCTTCTAGGAAGGTTCGCGCTTCATCTTCACGGTCGGGAACTTGGGTCATTCGGCTGCGATCTTTGCCATGTTTGGTCCTTCTCCTTGATTCTACACATTCTTGCCCATTTCCTCCCTGTTTTTGCTCATAATGTCACAAACGTCCCAAAACAGTTAAACGAAAAGGAACGAAATGGGCATGTAAATGACGTTTTGTAAAACAATTGGAGATCATTTTAACACAATTTCATCTAATAAGTGCAAGGTAAATAACACCATTTTGGTGTTATCAATTTCTATTGAAAATCTCAACACGAATATTATTCTTATCTGAATTCATTTTGCATGATATCATAACAAATCCATATTCACACAATCCCGAATAATGAAAAGATTTATTTTTCCTTAGGATTATTATTATTATTATTATGTTTCAAGAGGTTAATTTTCATAGAACTAATTTTTAGGTGGACTTGATTCATTTGATATTTTCATAGAATTCAAGGTGCATTTTGTATAAGCATATTCTTATTTAGTATGATTCATTTGCGACAACTCATTTGAGATGATTGTGCTATTCTACTATACTTTTTTGTATTATGTTCTTGAAAATTTAGATTCTATCATCCGAACCTACCTCCAAATTATATTTAACAAAAAATCAAGTTCTCCAGAAAGTAAATGTAAGCTAAATCTAAAACAAATATAAGTTCCTACAAAAAAGTATAAAACATGTACGAAGTGTAAAAGTCAAACATCTCTTACAATAAGAGACTCGTCTGCATTCGGCGTGGGTTCTGGTGCTTAAACCCAAAACCTTAAGCAGTTGCTTAAACTTCTCCTATTGGCTTATAGGAAATTAGTTAATCTATGGATGTTAGTTGTTAGTCGGTGGTTAAAGGGTAATTAGGGCATTAGGAGATTTTAATTATTTTGAAATCTAACGTGATATATTTAGTTAGGGTTTATACATTTTCTCCGCCCTCGGCTTGTTTCAAGGAAAGATTTTTCCCTCTCCCCTTCAACCTTCCGACTGTGCATCTCCTCTTGTGGCTGCACAACAATCTCCTCATCAAGATCCAGGCGACACTTGTAACTTCCAAAAATGGACCGTCCACTTTCCTACCGCCCGACGTTGGAGGGGGAATAGGCTCTACGATCGAGACGGTCGTTTTGCCAGGTCAGCAACCACGAGATCTAACTGTCGGTGTCGAGCTTTAGATGGAGTTCTTGTTGCGGAGTGCCGAAGCCGACGGCGACGAGTTAGTTTCCGCACCCATGGAGCGACTGCAGGCCGGAACTATACGGTGACCTCTCCACGACAAGAAGAATCTAAAGCCTAAGAAGCGGCTGCAAACGAGCGCTGATGATATGTCGCGCCTATAACTGGGAGCGCATGTTCTTGGTTAATTAATAATATTCTTGTAAGAGGTATGAAGTCGGTATAGTGATTATAGATTTTGTTGGTAATGTTCTTATTATCCGTTGAGAAACAACACGTTCTCGTTAATAGTGATCTTGTTAATAAGCCCAAATTATTTAAGAAACTTTAATAAGGGCTAAAATAGTGAGCAACAGGGGGTGCTAAGGTATTGTAATGATATAACTATTGTTGTTAACCTTTTAGTCTACATTAGTAACCTAGTTTGTATCATTATTAATAGGTGTATATAAGTGTAATCAATGTCTTACAAGGAAGGTATTAATAACATCTAGTAAGATAATTAATAATTATTAGTTGCTATCATTACCAAATATTTTGAAAGAGATTGAAATAGCTAGCAAGTAAACGGGGATGGTAAGGTATTGTTAATGATATAACAATTGTTATTAACCTTTTTAGTCTAATTTAGTAACGTAGTTGGTGTAATTATTAATGAGTGTGTATAGGAGTTATTAATATTTGAAACTAAGATATTACTAATA